ATACTGTACATGCTCCTCAGAGGATGAATCCTAATGTGTTTGGTCTTTCTAGAGATAACATCAGAAATATCCAAATGTACTCAACGCATTCATGCTCCTCAGAAAATGCATGGACATTTTCTATTTAGGGAACTTGCTTTCTAATTGTAAATGAAAGGTCACTATTAATTGATTGTGCAGTGAAATTCAGAAATAAAACTCTTTACCATGCTGTACTGTTCATTTCTGTGTTTTGTCAGAATGAGGGAGACAGTGAACAGCTTGTTGGAGGAGAAACGAATTTTGTCTGTCAGATTCACACAGCAGAGACGGATAGAAGAGTTCACGTCACAGGTGAGGAGGACCAAGTCCTCTTCCTCTGTCTTCTTTGCTGTTGGAGTTGTTTATGTCATCGCTGTCAGTCAAAATGTTATTGGTTTGACAGCCTATGAAAGGAAAACTTTCTTTGACTGTTTATGATCCCTGATTTTACTGACTTACTTTTCTTTCACTATTTGCAGTCACAGAAAGATCAGGCAGAGATGAAAGAGCTTCGTGAAACTGTTGAGCAACAAGGAAAAACAATCAAAGATTCACAAGGTGAGTCACAACACAGCAGAAACACAGTGACCGAGGTTCAAACCAGTGATACAACAAATCATTTAACGAAAATGAATTCTAAAACACCAGCCTTCATTTAATTTAGCATGTTAAACTCTTCTATTTTTATGCTAAGGTCCTAAAATTTAAATTACGATAAATGCAAAGATGTAAGAGAACATGAATTATGCATTGCGAATGAGAGACACGTCCTTGAGTTGTAAATCTCAACTTCTCAACTCTCAGATCTCAACTTTAGTGAGAAATGTGCACTTATCCTGAGGCTTTCTGACTTTAATTCATGAACGCAGAAATGAAAAAAGGAGAAAGGAAAACTACAAATAATGAATCTCCTTGTGAATGAAAATGGGAATATTAAGTCTTGAAATAAGTTAGTATGTTAACATAAATTTACAGATGTTAACAAGGTAAACTGCAAAATGTTAGTTGTCATTTTAACATGCTAACATGTGAACATACTTGTTAACATAGGCTACACGTTAATGTGCAAACAGTCCTGTCAGACTTGAATACAAAGGACAGGTTGAAAAAAAAACATCAGTTGTGTCAATTCAAATGAGTGCTTATGTGATGTTTTCTTTGTCTCTGCAGTCTCCATGATGGCCGCTCAGGAGTACGATGGGATGAAGGAGCAGCTCGACTTGGAGCAGAGCCTAAGAGTCAAAGCTGAGACTTACGCACACGAGGTACAATCCAGAAACACACAACTTGTTTGAACCTTTAAGCTACATTAATATGTTTTTGGCTACTAGGAGGCAGAAAAGACATCAAAACAAGCTGACAGATATGCTGCCATCACAGTATCACTGGTTTACATGTTCGAAAATAGTAGCTATTTAGTTCTCCAGCATACAGATCAACATTATCATCACATTCCTCTGTCCACCTGACTGATCTAACTTCAATATTCACTCCTATTAGCTGTAGTTCGGTCTCTACCTGCTCCTGAGAAAGACATCCGGCCCCTGAGCTCCTTGTTGTTGATGAGAGCATTTGTTTGTTACTAGAAGTATTCCTTAACACATCACTTTGCATTAAATTAAAACTAGTTCAGATATAGTGATTAGTGCAGCTTCAAACTCAGTGCTGATATCCTCTCTGCATTATTTATTTAGTCAGTTGGATGGAATCTTACATTGTTTGTTTTAGCACCGCTACACAAAAATAATACTTGTGACTTAGGATCTAGCTTGCACCAAAATTGGTGGATTTTACCTGTTGAAGGGACAAACAATTCAAATGTGACATCTGTGGTGGAGGTTTTTTATCGTTGTTATGTGCAGAAAGAGGCAGATTCAGTTTTCTATCAGCCACAAAGCACCGCTTCAACTAATTGTTTCATGTGATGAACATGTGAAAAATATTAGAGGTATCAGAAACATAATTATCACAGTATTCATAATCTACATTTCGAGTTTCTGAGAATACGTTATGACTGGTATGCTTCAAATCTCTGAAGTGATCCAGTCTGAAGATAAACTAATTGCTTTCCGTGAATTAAAAGCTATGAAACGATGCTACTGTTAGCCTCAGTGATAAAAGCTGACCTGCATTGCTGTGTTGGTGATTGATTGTGTGTGTGTGTTGTGTGTTAATAACCTTGTGCCTGATTAATGAATTGTCCTGAATCTGGTGGTTACTGACCTGAAAAGTGAAGAGCCTGCGAGGAACACTGTATGTGATGAACTAACTGGGATGGAATTTTGGAAGTGAAAATGCAAATCTTTCTCATCATTCTCCTCCCTCCTCTCCCTCTGTATCTTCCTCTCCTTCTCCCCTGCTTTGTTTTGGCATTCTTCTTCTCCTCTTCCACGTCTCCCTTCTTCTGTTCTCCTCATCCTCCTCCTCCTCCTCTTCTTCCTCCTCCCTCCTGCAGATGCTGGTGAAGCAGAAGGAGGCCAACAGGCAGAGTATGCTCCTGCTACAGAGTGCTGAGCCCAGCGTTCAGCTTCTGAAAGCTCTGGGATGTTGCTGCCATCACCAAAACCTGGGGAGGAGCGTCTGCAGCATCAGCAGAAGGTAAACCCCAGAAACTTCAAGACTTTGACCAAAGATCATAAAATTAAAATCTTGTCTTTCTCTGCTACAACTCTGAAATATTAAGATTCTGTAGCACTTCAGCCTTTTACAGTCACTCACACATTGAGGTCTGCTGAAGTTGCATGCTACTTGTTAAGGTTATGCAGTAGTCATGTGACCTTTTGAGAGAGGACAAAGATGTTGATCAATAAACAATAGACTCACCCTAATTGTGTAGCCATGGTGTACAGCACATCATACAATATGTGTGTGTGTGTGTCTGTGTGTAGGTGGAGAGCCTGCAGGCCCAGCTGGAGCAGAGCTGTGTGAAGAAGCAGCTGGAGGCTCTGCAGAGGCAGCTGGAGCTGCTGGAGGTGGAGAAGAAGGAGGTGGACGGACGATTGGAGAAGGCAGAGAAGAAGAATGAGGAGCTGGAGAACAGAGGTGGGCGGAGGTGGAGACGCACACACATACGGCACGGGAAGGGGTCCTCAGTTGGGTGTTACTTCATATAATTGAAAGGAGATAGGAGATATACACACACCCAGTACACAGCATAGTCACAGAAACACTTGTTTCTGATTGGCTGGCAAGTATCTGCCTGAACGTGGGTTAATCTGAATACAAAGGCAAGGCAAGTTTATTTGTATAGCACATTTCAACAACAAGGTAATTCAGAGTCCTTTAAATAAAACATAAAAGCAATTTAAAAATGTTTTAAATGAGTTAAATAGAAACTAAAAATCTAAAAAAGAAAAAGAAGAAAGTAAGAAAAAGGGAAATTGAAAAAACAAATACACTTTTCTCTTTTTGATACGCAGAAACGACATAAGAGACTGAAAATGATGGACTCAATATAATTGTGATTGATCCTAAACTAGAGACACTGATAACATATAGTTAGATATATATCTGTTATAAGAAATTATACATTACAAAAAAACAATAATCAACAGGGATGTTGGCATATTGAAACCAATGAACCCTAATACAGTATACTGACACATGCACAATTATTACATGCACTGGTACTTTTACACCCCAAGGTGACACACGTTGTTGACCCAGTTGAGTGCTCTAATTGAGCTGCACCAAAATCAGACTAAACCCTGCGAGTCTGATCTCAGTTATGTGGTTCAGCTTTAAACGTCTCTATAAAGGCATCCAGCTGCCACAGTGTCTTTAGTTCATTTTAGGGCTGTCCCCGACTTACAAAGTCGAATCAGAATCGGCAAGTCCTGCCTGTAGTCGACTGAGTCGAATCATGTGTGTTTTTTGCACGGCGATTGCGAGCCAAAGCTAAACTGAGGCTTATTGTTGACCATTCTCTCTCTCTCTCTCATCTCTCTCTCTCGCCTCTCTCTCGCCACTGCCATTCACCGGTGTTGTGCAGAGTTTTTGCCGTGCTGCCGACAACTGCCCGCACATCGTGGTTCCTCGCTGGTCTATTTCAAGTAGCCGGCTATTTAAACATTAAAATATTCTTTGTGTGGTTCATCAACGGTGATAAATTATCCGAAAGTGTCGTGAGGGACAACTCGGCACAACACTGGTGAAGCTGTGGCTCCGTCTCTTCAGCAGGTGTTACGCACTGACGACCCAGGGTTAGGATTACAATTTTGGATTTATTCACGCACTTTAAAAACATTTATTGGAAGTTTTTTTTCTTTTATACATGTTTATTATTATTATTTACAGCATTAAATGTTGAAATGTATATTGTAATAGGCTGTATATTAACTTACTGGGGAAAACTGGTAGTTCTATGTAAAATCAGACGTTGGGCATCCCCATATCGCCAAAATGGCACGATCCTCGTTTCGCTGCGAAGCTACGACTGTGAGATTCGAAGCATCGCATCTTCGACTATTTGGATTCAGCCCTTGTTCATTTTGTCTTATTTTAATCTCTTTAACCCCACTGGCTCTCCTGTGGATTCATCTATACAAACTAATGATCTGCCCACAAATATCGGCGATTGTTGACAGGACTTTATTTTAAAATGTGGTGGTGGAGATTTCCACATTTAAGTAGATGTCAAATATGTCAAGCTGAAGTTTAGGGAAACAATGAAATTAATGGAATGGTGCATTCCTAAAAAAAACATGTCTTTGATCATATAACTCATATAGCTTCAGGGAAGAGCTGGAAAAAGCTAGTTAAGTTAAGTTATTAAAAAGTCATGCACCACCATGAAACCACCAAAATATATTTACATAAATGTGGCACGTGTTGAATTTGGTTGCTGTGGTTGTGTAACTCCATTTTTAAACTCTTTAAACATCCACAATCTGATTTCACCTTTATTGTTGTCTGTGTCTCATGTTATGAGTGACATACATTGGAACAAAAATTAAAGAATCTTAACAGCAAAACCTCAAAATTAACAGAAATTGTAATATGTATTGTGTGGGCAGGATGTGTCCGACACAGACCATTGACCCATCTGCTGCAGGAAAGCTGGCAAACACGCAGACTTTCTCCCTGCGTGCAACACGGCATCTGTCCCGTTTTAAATGGGTCACATGAAGTCAGGGCCAAAACCGCCAACTGACTTCAACCAGGAGCTGTTAAAAAGAGACAATAAAAACAGAAGCCTCTTTCATTGGTGTTGCATAGTGTCCAAAGATAGTGTGTGGGGTAAGAGTCTTCACATGGAGGTTTAAAGGATTTCCTTCACCAGAGCTCCTACAGCAGAAAGGATGAAAAGTACTACTAGATAAATAGTATAGTGTGTTATTGACTGTTTCCATTGTTTTTCTTCCTCTCTACAGTCCACAAGCTCCAGGAGGAGACCCAGAAAAACAATGCCATGACGACCAGAACGGGACCCCCTCCCCCCCAACCTGGGGTTGCCCCCCCCCCCCCCCCCCCCCCGCAGCCTCCTCCTCCCCCTCCTCCCCCCCCTCCACCGCCTCCTCCACCTCCCCCCTCGAGATGCAACCCCCTCAGGTGAGGATGGCGACAGCAAACCCAACACATGTTCCATAACGCACTGCAATCTACAGACGTTTCTGTGGTCCTGTACAAAATTAAATCAGCTACAGCACTGGGAAAACTGAAACTGGTTTCAGTTTTTAGAAAGGGAATTAAAAAGAGGAGGCTGTGTGACAAAACGTGAATTTAGTGGATAATTTATGCGAGCCTTGTGTACAGTTTCAGGAAGCAGTTTAATCAAGTAATCCTACCCTGTGTCTGAAATCATTCTCCAGTTACTATATACAGTATGTATGTGCGGGATATTTTAATTGAGTGTCTGAATTCTGAGTGTGAAACAAATCCACTGTATAGTGTCCTCAAAACTTACAACAACGTTGATTGATTGATAGTGATAGTAGTTTTGGAAACAGATGACAAACCGACAAGAGTGAAAAATAAAGGCACCTTCTGATAATCAGATTAGCAAAGTGCTTTGAGAGACACAGAAGAGCACCTACTCTGTAATAAAGGAAGTGACGTACAGTAGCTTGAAAGCAGCATTAATGCACTGAAGGGACAATTGAAATGAAAAACGTTTCAGACCATTTATGTTTCTTGTCTCTCGCTCTCTCAGCTCTCTGATAGCCATCATGAGGAAATCTTCAAAAGGCTCTAAAGCGTCCGTGAAGGCAGAGCAGCCTCCAGGTGAGTTTTACCACACCTTTTTATATTTATATGTTGTCACATGTAGTACAGTACCCTTTAACTATTGTAAATTTAGCTTCTTGGGAAACAGCTAATGATTCGGGCTTTTGGTGAAGCCATTGGACAGGATCTGATATTATCCAGATATCCGGGTCAAGACTTCCTCTTCTGTCCGGCGCTAATTGTATCCAGTCTGAACAGCAATCTCAGAAGCCATCAGCTATTGTCTGATGACAATTTGAATGCAGATAAATAAAAAATAAATAAGCGAAAAGCTAATCGTTAGGGTTCCAAGAAGCTAAATATCAGATGTGTTTCGTCTCTTTTGTTCCACGCAGAGACCCATTTAGCTGCATCACATTTACTCATTTTGCTGATGCTTTTATCCAAATCGACTTACAATTGCTGTATATGTCAGAGGTCTTACGCCTCTGGAGCAACAAGGGGTTAAGTGTCTTGCTCAGGGACACATTGGTGGATGTGTCACAGTGGGGAATTGAACCTGTGTCTCTCACACCAAAGATATGTGTCTTATTCACTGCACCATCACCACCCTTGCATCCAATGCCCACTCAAACGTGATTGGTCAATACTCCTCGGATTACAACGGAAACCCGAACACTTCCGATACCAAAATCTTGTCCCTTGCCTACAGATCCTGCATTCATGTGCTGATATCTGTCTATAGTGATTAGTTAGTTAGATAGCAGTGACCGGTATGGATCAAATAAAAATGGTATATAATTATGATAGTGATACATATTGTGATATTTTACAGAAATTAAAATGGTTAATAGATAAAATAACCAGATGGGAATGTTGTTTTTTTTTGTTAATCCTGTAAATAAATACCTGAAAAGATTCAAGATACTTCATCACATTGATTTAAAGTACTTGGTGAAACAGGCCTGCTTCTGATTTGCTAACTTGCCTACAATGGCCTAAAATAACCAGAGCTACTTAAAGCAACTTATAGCAACCTCTGTTAGAAACAAATCTCTATTATCTCATTGTAAGCACTGTCATATCACCTAAACATAGAAGGAACTTGGAATTCTTACTGTGTTTGCACTTCATGTTTTCTCTCTCTCTCTGTAGCTGCTGAGGGTGTGGACGACGTGAAGGTGAAAGCAGTCAATGAAATGATGGAAAGGATCAAACATGGCGTCGTCCTGCGACCTGTCAAGAGTCAGGAGACTAAGGTGAGGACAAGACGGGCAGACGGAGACATTTATAAAGGATATTCGTCGTTTGTGTGACTTTCCTTTGCTACATGTTTTTTTAATGATCAGTATTTTATATTTAGGTATTTTCTGATCATCTCAAGTTTGAAACTAATCTAAAAGGTTTCTGAATTTAAAAAAGAAAGATTGATCTAAACTTTGCATCCCAAAGCACTGAATCGGCTGGGCACTTCTTACAATATCATCTTGTCTTATTGCAGATATACTGTTTAAGCGTCTGCATGTTTGTCAGCCAGTGATAAATAAGACAATGCAGTCCACAGTAAGTGAACTTTGAGTAATTATTATTTTGTCGCACATACTGATCCCAAGCTCAAGAATGAACTTTCCCGTTCATTGGCTGTGCCACAGCTAGATATTTTGTCTACCAGAGAGCATCGACAAGTTCATTTTTCAGCTGTCATCAATTTTTAATATGCAATTGTGAAAAATGTTTGATTATGGTATGTGTTTCTGTTAAACCCACAAATCAGGTTTTTAAAAACTCTCAAGGATGAGTATGTGCCTCAAAAGCAGGCTGTATGACTGACATACGTACATTTGACTGATGCAAAGTAATAAAAGTACAAACAAATCCGAAACATTTTTCCTTGCGATTCAATGAAAAAATCTCAATTTTTTTTTTTTGCCCACAAACATTTTCAAATTAAGTCCCTTCGCCCTGAAGTCCTCATTCATTTTGATACTGTATCCAACTATAGTAAGGAAGTCAAGGGTCAAAGGTCACAGCTCACTGACAGCAGAAGAACTAAAATATTCCTGTGACCTTATAATGATCATCAAATCAATCTTCACTTCAAACGAACATCAAAGCAGGTGAAACAATATTCCTGCTTGATCACTGTGGAAGGAAACCATGTTTTACTGAAATTCTTCTCCTCTTTTCATCAACGTCAGTAAACACTTTCAGCTCCTTTGGCTCCATGTTTGATGTAGTCTGAATGCACTCTGGCTGATTGCTCTTTTCTCTTTCCTCTCCATGTTCCTCCTTTGTGATGCCACAGAGAGTAGCAGTAAAAGTGAGTATATTGATGTTTGCATCAATCTTGTGATGTGAAGTTGCTGTCGCTCTATGGGAGAAAAAGACGTTTGCCTCCCTCTGACCTCACTATAACCCAACACACACACACAGACACTCTACCGACTCTAGTTTTAATCAGTTAAACACACTTCACTTTTACTTCCATTTCAAATCACTTCATGGGCTGGGCACTGTGTGCTTGTTGGGTTATTGTTCTTCTCCTACCAGAAGCTTACTAATTATGAAGCCTTGCAACACCAGTGTAGCAGGGTTTCACTCAATTCAGTCAGCAAGACAAAGTGAGTCTCCAGAAATTCAAATTTTTCGGTGTTTATGAAATGCAGCACTTGTGCCATGCTCTCATGCACTCTTGGCTTTCAAGAAAAAAAATCAGAAAGGAATATTTGTGTGTTTTTTTCCCCAGCCACCTCCAATCTGTGAGGAGAAACCGCAGGAGAGCGCCATGGAGGAACTGAAAGGCATCCTGGTAAAAATGGCTTTTTACCAGTTATGGTTTGACTGTCAAAACAGCTGCTTACTCAATCTTGACAAACTCTATATCGCATGAAGGCACAAATCCTCACAATTTTACGGTAAACGGTTTTAAGATTCCAACATCTCTGCGACTACAGGACTAGATATAAAGCACACTTTCAGACAGTAAACTCTACACTGTTACCTTTCAGAGATCATGATTTTAATCAAAACGGTTCAAGAACAGAAACCATTTTATTTTGGTTATATAATTTTCTGGTTGTGCAGAAAAAAGGTTGTGGTTGTTGTAACTCAAGTTAGTTAGTGGTAGTTAGTTAATCAGTGATGTTGGTAGACATGGCATACATATAAACCTATTTATTTTAATTTAATTTTATATTATCAGTCGAGAAAGACTTCAAATGCAGATTTTAAAATCTGTAAGTCAAAAATCAAAATCTTTTTGATGAAACTGACATATAGAAATTACATTAAACGGAGCAAAACGTATTGATTTCATTGATACAATATGTCAATATGTGTATAAGATAAGCTGCAGTGATGGTTGTTTTTGCCTTCAGGAGACGGTGAAGCGGAGTCCCAGCCGAGGGTCTCAGGAGTCGGGGCCGTCACCACCTGGGAAGAAGGACAGCGAGCTGGAGGTCATCCTGAGACGTCGACGCAACAAGGCGGGAGAAGCTGGCTCCGGAGGTAAACACACCTGAGGATGCTGAGCAGTGTTGATTTCTTGTGTACTTTTCAGGGAAACTCAAACAAGGGATTTTTTCCCTAACTGCTGTATCACCAATTTTCCTCTCTGCAAAGTTTGCATTGTTTGTTGTTACTGACTTATCTTGCAATTAGGCCTTCTATACATAAACTTTATTTGTTATGTTAAACTTTTTATATAATATACAGTGTGTCTTGGGTCAAAGGTCTGACATTTAAAATGTTACTTAAGTAAAAGTATGAAAGTATTTGCAACAAAATATACTTTAAAGTATCAAAAGTAAAAGTCAGTGTCATGTTATTAGATCACTATTCCTGATGTATAAATATGTACACAATACTTCAGTTTTGTAGTATGTTGAATTACAACAAATTTTATAGTACAAGTATCTCAAAATTGCACTGAAGTACTGTCCTTGAGTAAATGTACTTAGTTGCTTTGCACCACTGCTCAGCTGAGCATTAAGTTGAACTTTTTTTGTGGAAAACACGTCAAACCATTAAACCCATTTATGACCTTAAATACACTTTTAATAGAACCTTTTACAAGTTTGTTAAGAAAAAATTTCCTGAACAGCTTTGCAGAAGAAAACATTCAACAATGATAAAGAGGGAAAAGATGGTATAAAGCAAACTGAAAGCTGCCTGTGTGAAGAAGTGAACCCAGAGATGAAGCCAGCGCACTGAGCTCCGTGTCTGCACGTTCAGATGAGGTTGAGCTGCTAATTATCCCGTTGCTGCGTCAGTCAATTTTTAGAACAAGCGGTGTTAACGTAGCAGAGGTCAGGGGATCCATCTCAGAACGATTTCATGCTGTTGGGGGAGAACCTGTCTGAGCTGCTATGTCTGGGTGTGTCCAGTAGGGGGGGCACTGCACCACACAATGAACACACATTTTGTAACGAGGTCAGATTATTGCTGGTATGGAGTTATCTGCTTTTCCATGATTGATTGGCCTCATCTGGCAGAATTAATCACACCTTCTTGATTTTTCAAATGTGCAAATTATTTAGATTCAATACATCAATGACTCCGGTGTGGAGGAAAGCTGGTTAGAGCTCAAAAACATTTGCTTTTGTTTTCTTTCCTTTCAAATCATTGAAGTAAAGAAGAGTCAAACTGGTTTCTGATTGTATCAGCAAATGCAGTTAGAGCAGGAGGAGGAAGGGGGGCATGGAAGATTTGGAAGATGGATGTTGTAAACTCTATTCGTAAAGCAAAATATTCAAAAGAAGAAGAAAACAAGGTGAGGAAAACACAATAACACAACGAGGAACATTGTAAAGTGAATGACCTAAAATAGAGCAAATGTAGCACGTTACATTAGGAGTGCTTCCTGTCCTCCTCCTGACCCCTCGTCACTCTTTAACGGGCTAAAACACAACACATCCATTAGAAGCCAAAGTGCTGTGAAGCGTCTCAGCAAATATTTACGTGTTGAGGAGCTAGATTTTCCCAATATAGGTTGCACTACTGCTGAATACACTTCCAATAAGGTTGAACATGTGCTGGACTGGAAAGATCAACATTAAGTCCACACAGGAAGCACAACACAGTACTTAATCTAGGAAAGGTGCACGTATAAAACAACTTTTCTCTAGTAATGGAACAAAATGACATATCACACTCGGTTGTAGCCCCTCATTGCAAGTTGTTACGGTGATCCAAGCAACATTTGAGCACCAGTTTTTGCCATGTCCCATTCTTCCTAATGGGAAATGAGGCTGTACAAAGTTCTCTGATTAGTTGCCAGTTATTCATTGGACATGACACTTTAGTGAACTATTCACAGTCTAGGAGTTGACCCTTGAAGTCAGAAAGCTTAGTGACATGGTTTGATTTGAATAAAGTCTAAGTAAAAGTTACTTTGAGTTGATCTTTGTGGTTGCTCTTTATCAATCGTTGCCTGTGTTGTTTATTAGTTGAGGCTGTTGCCGTCAGTTTCACCGAAAACCTCACAGATATGACAGATGAGTTAAGTAACTGTTCTGCAGCTGTCACGTTTGACACCTACAAACAGGTTTTTCTGAAAAAACAATATCATTTATGATTTATTTTCTTTTTCCTCACCAGATGAGCGAGAGGGCCAGATGAGCCACGTCTCCTCCTCAGACAGCCTGAATGGGAGGCGCACCAGCAGCGACTCGGGCAAGGATCCAGAGGGGCCGGGGGGGCTGAGCACACCCTCCGACTCTGCGGGTCCCAGGGTTAGCTCAGAGAGACGGGGGTCAGGACCGGGGCCCGTCGTGGCCAGGAGGAAGAGCTCGGACACAGGCAAAGAGCCCAGAGTGGGCTCCTGGCAGGAGAGGAGGTCTTGCAGCTCTCTGTCTGAGAAAGAAACAGCAGAGTCTCCGGTCGGCAACGGCTGCACCAACAGGTGGAGCATCTGAAATATAAACAGCATCAGGGGGGCTAAGCTGACTCAAGTCTAGGGATCCAACTAATGATCACTTTCACTATCTATTGATCACTCCTTTTTTAATTAACTAATGATAAACAGTACTTTGCTCATAGCTACAAACAATTTGGTATCATAACTCAGTTGTTGTGAACCTCTGACCTTTACCATCTTTTTGTCCCTGCTCCACAGTGTCGGGGAGGACGATAAAACTGCGACGGAGAAGTATGTCGAGTCAAACGGAGTCGAACACGCCGAACCTGGTGAGGACACAGACGCCGCTGCCTGCGCCGGCCCGGTCAACGGCAGCACCGATGCTGAGTGCTAGGATGGCCTCGGAGGATCCCGGGCTTGTTTCTGTAATCTGATCCATGCATTTATTGGCTGATGTGAGAGTGATGTCATCGATAATTACTCTCACATCAGAAAGTTTAGGGTGCGATCACACATTTGCCTTTTGTTTATTGGGTCAGAACCGGAATGGAAAACTTTATTGTAATTTTATATTTGTTGTGTTTTTCAGATTTACATTAACCGTTTAAAAACTAACCGGAGTCTGACAAAAAAAAGAAAAAACAAGAAAAGTCACATGACTAACGTAGCTCATTTATTGAACAGATTTTTGGTCTGAGCATTTTTTATTCCATTTCCTGTAGATTTTTCACATGTCGAGAAAGCTGAAGGATGTCATTGTTCTCACAAAAGTAACATGAGGTTGGACATGCTGCAGATAAACTGTTCAGAACATGCTTGGTGTGAACGCACCCTAATCTGTCCAGCCATTGTAGAAGCCCCCTCAAACAAACTGTATCTGTCACTTGTCAGCAGTTGAGAGATTCAAACTATTATTCTTGAATAATCAATCACAGAAACAAAAACAAGGCGACAGAGCAGTCGGTAGGGGCTTTTATAATGGCTCATATTAATTAATAACCAGAGCATTTATCAATCTGCTGTACGTCAATTGTTTTCTTTGAAGGTTTTCTGAATACAGACTTGTGGATCCTGGAGGAGGGACTGACTGAACTGTACGAGGGAAGCTGCACTGTTTTTGCACAGAACCTCAGTTTTCTTCAAACACTTCAACTTATACAATGACTGTAAAGCTTTAGGTTGATGTTTTCCTCCATTTGATGCACAAAGTTCGATATGTTCAATATCACTTTGTGTCATCAGAAGGAATGCACTGTACTGTTTAGAATCCAGCTCTCCAGCTTCCTCTGCTTCTCCTCTAACCCCCTTCTTCTTTACTCCCAGTTGTAGAGGGGGATGCACAATTGGTTAATATATAATAATATGCTTTTGTTAGCTTCATCAGTCAGTGGATATAATGGTACATATTTAATGGTTTTAAGGCATGTTGTTGAAAAATGGATATTCACAATTATGGCTGGGACAAAAACAGTTTTTTGAGATCTACTAAATTGAAACAAACAAGTTGATTAATACTTGAATATTTTTTGCCATTGGATAATTTTAAAGCATACGTGTTTTGTCATTGTAGTACTTGGATTAACATTAATCATGCAGAAAAATTCTAAACACGTGCAATGTTCTTATACCCAGCAAACCAAACTACTGGATGGTACAAACAGTGATGACTTAACTATTCCTAAAAATGTAAAGTTTATCCTGATCCACAGTGTTATTTAAGGTCAAATGGGTTAATTCTCTGGGGAGCAGGTATTTAATTGGTTAATTTTAAGGCTGTCTGACAATTAGACTGTACTAAGTTATGTGTAAAAGTAGAAATTTTGGCCTGATGGCGTCGTTAGAAGAATGACAAATTTCATTACAATCACAACTCCTTAGCCCTCATCGCAAGTGGGACAAAAACACACAACAAATTATCTCTTCTGTGCAGTTCAGTTGTCGCTGTATCAATAAGTGGTCCCAGCCTTAATTTTGATTATTATTAGATTCACTGACAAAAAAACGTATGACTTCTTGAACTTGAATTCCCGAGCAAACTGCATCCACTGATGAAGACCAAGAGATGTGGCTGAGAGCTCTAGATTACTGTTAATCTGTAATGGATATGTTTTCTAATGTCAAGAATGAACCTTCAGGCTCTAATTGTGCATCCCTGGCTATAGTATCCAGGTATTTAGAGTATGTCATTCATGAACTCTCGCTGTTTAGTCCAACCTCTTCCTGAGTCTAAATGGAGAGATGCTGAGTGAAAACACCCAGAAACAATTTTTACAACCAGGGTTTAAAAAATGGTGCAGAAAGCTTTGAATGTGGAAAGGTTCTTATCCCTTCTTCCTCTTTTGCTACTGAGGCTCCTGTCCAGGTTTCAGCGTGTTGACTATCGGTGTGTCGTAAGGCTTGTGAGGGTGTGAGGTGGAAATCAGACAGATGTGGAAAATAAATGTGATATTTCAGGATCAGAGCAACAATAACAACAACAACAACAGCAGCAAAGTAAGTAGCAAAGTTCCAACTAAATCACATCTAACAGAAATATTCTCAGGTTTCATGGGACAACGTTTCACCAAACTAACTTTGCAGGTGTCAACAGTAAAATGTTTGGGACGAACAAATAGAAAGCCATTTTTAGTGGGTAAATAAGCAAAGGATGAGAACATCTTTGGAGGAATGAGGTGCTTGTGTACTTTGTCTACCTCTCCACAGACACCTGCCTCTAAACCTATATGTCCTGAATTACATTTTGTCGTGTGAATCCTAATGAGATACTGTCACCGGATTAAGATGTCTTCCACACGCCTTCCTCCACTGTATCAGCACTGAGTCCAGAGTCCTGTATGCACATATTCTGAGACGCCCTTATTGTTTCTGTGCTCGGTCAACACGTCCACCTTCACATTTCACCGTGCGTTCCTTGACTTTGATTTTGTAGGACCTAAAGTCTATATATAGCTTTCCTGACACGTGATGCAACCTTAAGAACAATTTTGAAGAGTATGCAATTACATAAGGCACATTTGGATGGTGCTTTCACACCTTCTCATTCTTTCTTAAAACACAGAATCACATTTAAAATTGCATTTTCTTCTGTCCATTACGTGTATTTTATTCTAATGCAAAGGACCAGATGTTAAGGAGTAAAGAAACTGTTAGTCTGCACATAAAATAACCCTCCGGAGCTGTTCAGCTGCCACAGGCCTGAATTGTATGCATATCGAGGCCTCGCACAGGCCTCCGGGCAGTGGCCTGCAGCTGGGTTATGTTTTGGGTCCTTGTACTTATTGCATAGTTGTTAACCAAGTGGCTTAACAAGGGGATTTACCGAATCTGACGGAGATTGGGTGACTATAGATATTGTGTGTGTTTGGGATATAAATGGAGTGTTAAAGAGTTTTTTAAAACATGAATTTTCATTTTAGCATCACTTGAAATAAATTGTAAACTGAACCTAATTTTGTTTGTCTTTATTTGAAAAAATCTGCTAAAGCCATTGATGTAAATTAGGAGATCTACTACAATATATTTAGTTTTAGTTAGTGGGACTTAAAGGATTTGCTATGAATTACAACAACAAAACAACCTCTAGTGGAATCTATAAAGATAGTTTTAGTTTTATTTATCCAGTCTCTGAAGCATCTGCCTCCACCCCCCAAAGACTTAATGTCAATGAAATTTTGATTGTTTTTCTTATGTAATTTGGTGGAAAAAATCCTTTAAGTAGATTATTTTTTGAATATAATGAATCTTTACATTACCATATTTTAGAGGGAACGCTGTACCTGTTTCTACATTGACAGATCTTGTCACCACTCAATAGGCCTACAGTTTTGATACTTCATTACTCCTTATTATGTATTTTTAAGTAAACATAATGTTTAGGTTTTGCCAGTCCATCCAGCTTGGCTGCTTGCGGATTTATTCACTCACTCTGATTAAAGTTGCTCACTGGGTGCATGCACACTAGAGTTCTTCAGTTAAGAGTGTGCACATTAGAAACGTTGTTTGAGCATCTGACATATGAGATAAAGAGATTTTATTGAATTGAACTGATGATATTTCGATCCTACATAGAGTAATATTAGGGTGTTATTGATGCTTGGGAAACTTTATTCAATTTAAAACTGTATTTTTGGCGCAATCTGCTTCACATGATCCAATATATGGCCACACTATCCAATACAGGGGCTTTGGATTTTGGCTGCAGTCAAAGGGCCTTTTTTTCTTAGGAAGGTTCCTCACTGACTGAAGTGACCTGGCAGGAATGCACTAAGAAAGGTATTTTCTCTACTTAACTTAAACGTAAAATGAAGGTCAAAGCGCCCACACTAGAAAACCCCCATTATTTTAATGGTTCATCTTCTTCTAGGCCTACTTGTAGGCTATATTGATTTTCTTTCATTCTATTGTTAATTTTAACATTTCAATCCTATTTGTTTGTTTTAATTTTTACCAACCTCCTAATTTTTTTTGTTAATTCCTACAGTAATTGGTGGTTAAATGTATCCTATATAGCCTACAATGAAAACCTTCTTTCGGATCTCTGTGTTGGAGAGGAAACCTGCTTTTTTGTAAAGCATTGACTTTGTCACTTTTATGTAGACTCTATTGTTTGTTTTTTTTTTCACGTGGCCAGTGACAAATCAGAACATGAAAATATTATCAAATATAATAATTATAATAATATATATAATAATAATAATGCCAGTAATCAGCAGCTTGTTTTTTATAGTTTCTTTTTTGGACAGGGCAGATCTGTTTCTTCTATACTTGCATTGTATTTCATGTTTTCCTGTTTTGCAAGTAAACCTTTCTCATAGAATTTGTATTTGTTCTTGATCTTTATATAGAATAAGTCTGGGGATTGATCAGTTTTTATGGGTCCCAGGACACATTGGCATCCAAGGGAACGAGATGGCAGACACATTAGCTAAAAATGGGTTGAAAGTAAATGAGGTAGAGGTGGCAGTGCCAGTTAGCAAAGTAGAGATCAAAGCATATGTAAGGAGCAAAATTAAGATGCCGTGGCAGAGTACATGTGACAATGGAAATAAAGGAAGACATTTATATAAGATTCAGCAGAAGGTGGGCGAGGAAAAGACACTGTGGAAGAGCAGGAGAGAACAGTGTCAGTTTAGCAGAATTAGACCAGGCCACACAAAGTTAAATGCATCTCTGCACCTTGTTGGAAAACATCCATCTGAAAATTGTGAGGCACTGCAATCAACCAGAAACTGTGGAACGTGTGCTTTTTGAGTGCACTAAATACTCAAACCAAAGACTGTCTTTAATAAATGGACTGGAATGGAAAATGAACTATTTTCTAAAACTATTTTCTAAAAATAACTCTGGAAAGATGGTGCTCATTTTGTTTTTGTTTTTACAACAAACTGGACTGAACACAAGGATTCAGGCAGACGTAACTAAGACACTGTGGTGTCCGAACAACAATGCTGCGCTGATGTCTTGAGAAGAAATCCGCTTGACACTGTTCTTGATTATAAAAGTTTATTACATCAAAGAATTCAGCATCAATTACAAGCTCTGCAGCAGCTTGGAGAGTGACCCAGCCCGATAACCACTCTGTCTCTCTGTACATCGAACACAGCTTATATAGGACATGTTTAGGTCTCTGCTAAAAACCATATAAGGGCACAGTCCCTTCATACACACTAATCTCTACTCCCCCTACCACTGGGTCAGAGGTCAAATTCCATAGAAGGGTTCACTCTTTGCACACCCATCAATCATTACTTCCCCATAAGGGTTCACTGTCCCCAGCTACAGAGCATTATGTTAAACTGTAATGGTCAAATGCACATATGTTATACACCACAACACAGTAGGTGGCGATAAAGCTCCATCCGGTTGCAAGTCGCCAGTAAAAAGAAGAAGAAGAAGAAGATTTTCAAATTACTGGGTAGTGACCATTGTCCAATTTTATGCAGATTTGGTAGAGAGTTGAGAAGAGAAGTGGAAAAGAGTGTCCCTAGATATAATTTTTCTCAGGCCAAGTGGGATAAATACCGGGAGAAAGCTCAAAGCTTAGTAGGAGATGTTGATAGTGAGGGTTCTGTAGACAACTGGAATATGATGCATGAGGCTGCTTGCTATACCATTCCTGTGAAGCAGGAACCTAGGTCACGTATGCTGGTTCCTTGGTGGAACAAAGAATGTGATGAAGCTGTAAGGAGTAGGAATAAAGCATATAGAAGATTAAGAAAGTATCCAATGTTGGTTAATGCAATGGAGTACAAGCGTCTAAGGGCAGTAGCAAGACGAGTTATAAAGGATGCAAAAAGAAACGGTTGGAGGAAGTTTTGTGGTACGTTAGGTCCTGAGACTCCAGTAAGGCATTTGTGGTCAGCAGTACGTAGAATGTCAGGGGTATATAAAAAAAGATTGATACCAGTGTTACAGAAGGGAGAGGTGGTAGCAGTTTCCAATAAAGAAAAAGCAGACATGTTTGTTGAGAGTTTTCAAGCTGTACATAGATCAGAGATAATGGGGGTTGAGAGGCGTAGGAAGAGGGATGAATTGATTGAAGTTAATCAGTGGAAGCTGGAGAGGAGTTTAGAAAATGAAAATCCTATTAATCTGTTTTTTTCTTTAAAAGAGTTGAAGGAAGCAATTATGTCTGGGGCAAATACTACCCCAGGGAGAGATAGGCTATCTTATGAGTTGTTTAAATATCTAGATGATTTTGTACTTGAAGAAATCTTTGCTTTGTTTAATACTGTGTGGGCAGAGGGTTATTTGCCCAGGGAGTGGAAACATGCAGTTGTGGTCCCTATCTTGAAACCAGGGAAAGAGGCATCTGACCCTGGATCATACCGTCCTATAGCGCTCACAGCAGTGATCTGTAAGATTATGGAGAGGATGGTTACTAACAGATTAGTATATTTTTAGAAACAAGAGGACACTATGTTGATGTACAGAATGGATTTAGGAATGGAAGGTCTACAATGGAATCAGTTGCAGTTTTAGATCAAGATATTAAAAGGGCATTTAGCAATAAGGAAATAGTAGTGAGTGTATTCCTGGATATTGAGAAGGCTTATGATTCTTTGTGGAAGGAGGGATTGATGATTAAAATTTTTGACTTGGGAGTTAGGGGACAAATGTTTAATTGGATAAAGGATTTTTTAATGAAAAGAACAATGCAAGTAAAGGTTGGTAGTATTAATTCAAAGACTGTGGGCATAGAGAATGGAACCCCACAGGGAAGTGTAATTAGTCCAGTGTTATTTAATATAATGATCAATGATATCTTTGGTAAAGTAGAAAGAGGATTCGGGTTATCTTTATTTGCAGATGACGGGGCCATTTGGAAAAGAGGGCGTAATGTAGAGTTTGTGTTAAAACAGATTCAAAGAGTGTTGGTATCTGTAGAGGAATGGGGGAACACATGGGGCTTTAAAATCTCTGCTTCTAAGACTAAATATATAGTATTTGGATTTAAAAGAAAGTTACCTAATCTAGGGCTATATATGTATGGGTCTCCATTGGAGAAGGTAAAGGTTTTTAAATTTTTAGGTGTTTGGTTTGAAGAGCGTATGACTTGGGCTGTGCATGTAGATAAAATTGTGTTGAAGTGTGAAAAAGTTCTGAATGTAATGAGAAGTCTGGCTGGGTGTGAGTGGGGGGCTAATAGGGAGACGATGCTGCTAATTTTTCAGGCCATGATTAGATCTGCTCTAGATTATGGGAGCTTTGTGTATGGATCTGCTTCCAAAACTGTTCTGGATAGGTTAGATGTGGTGCAGGCAAGGGCTTAGAGGCTTTGCTGTGGGGCCTTTAGAACCTCCCCAGTCTCTGCCCTACTCATTGAATACATTCCCTTATGGTTAAGACGCATTAAGTTAGGGTTACAATACTGGGTCAAACTTAGTGGGTGTAATCGTACCTTCCCAGCAAGGTGTCTGTTGCAAGAGGTTGCTGGAGCTAATAGATACAAAACATTTTTTGACATAGTAAATCAGTGGGCAGGTAAGATGTGCATGGATCAGGGAGGTACTGTAGAGCATATAAGTTGGCCACCAATACCATATTGGGTGATGCCTGAAATAAATATCGAGCTTGGTTTTCTTCAGGGAAAAGATAAGTGGGAAGTGGCACTAAAAATAGAGGAATATCTTAATTCAATTAGTGGGAGCACAATGATTGTTTATACAGATGGATCTAGAGATCCAGTTAGTGGGAGAGCTGGATTTGGGGTGTATGTGGCGCAGTTAGGGTTGGAAATTGGTCGGCGTATTTCTAATGGAAGCTCTGTCCTCACTGCTGAATTAATGGCAATTTTATGGGCTCTATGGTGGATTGAGGAAGTCAAACCTAGAGAAGTCATTATCTGCTCTGATTCTACAGGTGCTCTAGAAAATTTGAAAGTAGGAAAATCTAAAGCCCGACCTGACATTGTAAATGACATCTTGAATGTGGTTTATTTGCAACATCAGTTTTTGCTGGGTTCCCGGGCACGTTGGGGTGAGGGGGAACGAACGAGTGGATAATATTGCAAAAGAGAGCTTAGGAAGAGAAGTAGATGTCCATGTATCATTAGGGAGAGTGGAATTGAGAGAAAGAATTAAAGAGGGCTTAATAAAAGAATGGCAGAGAGGGTGGGAAAACGAAATTAGAGGCAGACACTACTTTTCTATACAACCCAAAGTTAGGAAGAGATGTTTATGTAACATTTTGTCCCGCAGGGACTCAGTTAAAATGTGCAGATTGAGGTTGGGGCACTGTGGATTAAATTATTCTTTGTGCATTGTAGGGAAGCATGTTTCGGGCTTGTGTGAATGTGGGAGTCTTGAGACAGTGGGGCATGTTTTCCTGGAGTGTAGAAAGTATAGGGCAGAAAGAAATGTACTCGTTAATAAACTGTCAGGACTTGGAGTTGAGGCTTTTTCTGTTTTTTACCTTTGTTTGAGCACAGTGACGACCATAAACTGATCTCCAAGGCAGTCCTTCAATTCTTGCATGGCACAGGACTGTATGTAAGAATTTAGTTCAAACTTTGACCTGTGGAGGGCAGTAATACGCTCATAAGCGTCCACACTGCCGGAATCTCACAAGAAGAAGAAGATTTTCAAATTCAAGATGGCGTCGCAGTACTACCAAGAGATGCAAGAGAGTTTCAAGAATAACAACAAAAGTCGAGAATTCCCTGCTCACACAGCCAAAGTCCACTCGGTGGCATGGAGTTGTGATGGCAGGAGGCTCGCCTCCGGCTCTTTTGACAAAACAGCCAGCGTTTTTGTCCTCGAAAAGGACCGTTTGGTGAGTCGCTGTCCAGTTTTCTGCTCGCATGCTAACGCGTTAGCCTCGTTTCAGTCAGTCAGTGAATGGATGTGCGGTTAAAATCCTGAAGTTAAAGCCGGTGAGCTCAAACAAAACGGTTATAATATGGTTCTACATGACACGAACTTACAAACACATCGACCTGTAAATTAGCCGTAGCCTCAAACGTCCCCCTCGCCTTGAATGTGTAAAATATTAACGCTGTAATAACTTCTGTTGCCAAACTTAACTGCTTTGTATCGTTGGCCTTAAATACTCAAAGCAGAGAGATTCTTGTTTCTTGAAGTTGATGTGTTTAAAAAAAAATAAGTCATCCCAAAAATTTGAGGTTTTCTTTATGATAAATTTTCTCCACTTTGACTTCACCTTGTCCTGAATTGGCCTTTTTACTATTACTATTTTAAATAGCTGAATGGACTGTGTAAATGTCAAAATGGGATTGTTGTGAACATTGTATTATGTTGGTTATATAGAGGCATCATTTAGTGAATAAGGGTTCAGCACTGAGGCCTTAAATGGGGCCGATGGATTTCTGTTAAACTTGAGTTTGTCTCTGTTTGCAGGTGAAAGAGAACAACTACAGAGGTCACGGTGACAGTGTGGATCAGCTCTGCTGGCATCCAACCAACCCAGATCTGTTTGTCACAGCATCTGGAGACAAGACCATTCGCATATGGGATGTCCGCAGCACCAAATGCATCGCCACCGTCAATACGAAAGGTAGGACCTTAGTTCAGTTAGCATTTAGTAAGAGCGGAGCGAGATGTGAGTTCTACTATGAAAGCAGAATATGTAAACAGCAATACTATGTGAGAACTTTTGTGGAAGTTGGCGTGGCTGCAAACTCGGCCGCTGAAGCTCAACAGTAGGACTCCAGACGCTAGTTTCACAGTCACGCTTCCTGAATGACATCTCCTATGACTGGAAGAACAAACGAGACGCACTGCTCTGTTTTCCCTCTGTCCATCCTGCAAAATTTTAGGGCATGACATGTTAAAATTCTTTCAGAAAATGGGAAAGATTCTATTCTGTTTGATAGCGTGTACATGATACAAAAGGAAAATCTGAAAGGGAAGTGGTTTGGTGGGGAGGTTTTTCAGGCTGGTGATGAGGAAACAATTTATTACTTTGTGAAGGAGGAAAAGAACTAAACGTTTTGTAATGTAATTAAATACTTTTGTTGACATTGTGTGAGCGCCGAATCCCCGATAAACTTCTGTCTTTGAGAGAGATTTTTAAAAAGTCTCATATCGTTTTTTTTTTAGGAGAGAACATCAACATCTGCTGGAGCCCTGACGGCCAGACGATCGCTGTCGGAAACAAAGATGATGTCGTGACCTTCATCGATGCCAGGACACATCGCTCCAAAGCAGAGGAGCAGTTCAAGTTCGAGGTGAACGAGATCTCCTGGAACAACGACAACGACATGTTTTTCCTCACAAACGGCAACGGCTGCATCAATATTCTGAGGTAGGAACCAAAGAGAGCGAAACAAAATATAGCACCAGGCAGTCCTCTTCAGCAGCCTCTGAATTAGTGTAGTTATTTTTTTACCCCTAACTACTACATATTTATGAAAAGCTGTGCTCTCAATCAGTTTTCTCACGCTGACACCTGCCAGCTGCCAAGTGATGCCACTATGCGCCGGAGGTGTGATGTTAGATGCTCGTACTTTTTGGCTGTTATTTTCCTGCAGGAAACACTTTCTGTAGTTTTTCCAAATTCACACACCGTAGATACCAAGGCTGACAATGGAAGTCTATTAAAGAAACTCATCATCAAGTTGTGCATCTCTTTACTTCTATGCTGTTCCCTTGAAAAATTTGCTGAATATATTGGGTGACACACAGGGTGGGTTCTTTTATTTATAGAAATATGTTACAGGGCATGAAATAACTATCAAAGTTAGACCTTTCAGTTTGCCATATTAGGGTAAACAGCATGACCCTCAGGTGGCTCATTTATTGGAAAAATGTTTTGGTAATATGGATCCAGCGTAATAGAAAGGCTGCTGGGTTACTCTGGCATGGTATAGGAGGACTTTGCCACTAAAATAAAATGCAAAACGAACCTGCAAACAGTGGGTCATATGCTCCAAAACAATTCAAGGCACACAAGAAATCATTCATCCACTAATGCAACATTCACTAATGCACAAGTTTTACTTGCAGCGTATCTGGTGGAACCAAAAATCTCTAGTCTCTCCTTCCTGTAAGGATGTTTGTGTGGTCGTTTTCTGGAGTTTGCAGGATTTCATTTTCAGCCATTGTGGTGTCTTTACGCGATACCACAAGAGGAAGAAATAAAACATTCTTATCCAAAGGTCAAACCAAATTAAACAAGCATGAAACGTGCGCTCGTCACCTGCCGTTATGTTTTTACTTCTGACCCATCTCTGCACAACATCGCTGTTCCCAAAGGAAAACCCCTTCCAGGTAAATGGAGCTTTTCTTTCAAGGTTCTTGGGTAATCCACAATTTATCTTATATTCACTGTCACCTCTCACTTTTTTGTTCACCTCTATACAACACATTTGTTTTGGTTGTTATTTTGTTTGTAAATGAACAAGTTAGAGTTAAAACACACAATATATATCTAGTGTCGAGTTCCTGTTGGATTTTTGTAACTGCCAAGTGTCTGGTATTGTGTATTGTATAAAAAGTCTAGTCATGTGGTTCTGAGCTATAATTCCACTGTATGGTTTTTGTTTGTTATGCAGTTATCCAGAGCTGAAGCCCATCCAGTCCATCAACGCTCACCCATCCAACTGCATCTGCATCAAGTTTGACCCCACGGGGAAGTACTTTGCCACGGGAAGTGCCGACGCCCTCGTCAGCCTGTGGGACGTGGAGGAACTGGTGTGCGTCCGCTGCTTCTCAAGGTCAGTCTGTGGTCATTATATTCTGCATTTTAATCTCAAAATACACTTTAAAAATCGGGGCATTTATTGATACATGAGTGTATATAATAACCTGACAATATGACTCATGCCACTTTATTAAACTATGACTTTGACCTGCGAGGTTAACTTTCTGAATCTATCCTTTCTTGGAATCATGGATTTTTTTTTACTTTTCATTGCTGCTGACGTAGGCTTGACTGGCCGGTGAGGACTCTGAGCTTCAGCCATGATGGCAAGATGTTGGCCTCGGCCTCCGAGGATCACTTCATAGACATTGCTGAGGTGGAAACAGGTCAGTACGACAGTTTACCATGTCAGGCAGACCGACAGCAAACTGTGGCTTTTTAGTAACTGTATGTGAGACATGCGCACGAAGCAAACTTTGGAATTATTTCTCTTACGTAGCTGACAGGGAGGGAAAGCTCTTAATAAATACAGTATGTTTCAAACCCATTCAGACCAAGGAAGGCAACACATCCAACTTAGCAAAGGATTTCACCAGCAGACGTGCCGACTTGTTAAAAGAATTCAAAGAGCGACAGGTTAGCGAATGTGACCGATAACATAATTACATGCCATCAATGTAAGTCAAACGAGTTTAATATGTTGTGTGACAAGCAAACTTTTTTAGGGCACTGTTAACGGTTTAATTTGGCTTTAGTTTTTATCTATCTTACCAGTGTGGTAAATGTCTATACAAACACAGCGTTCACACTGGTTATGTTAACTTTACCATAACTTGCAAGCTGCTACAAATCAGGTGTTCACAAGTATGCAGATCAACAAAAACAACTATATAAGTGATACATTTATACAATTTGTTTTCACTACTTTTTGTTCCATTTTAAGTGGAATATCACCTCCAGTCCTTTTGAGTCTGGTTCACAGGATTTCTGCCAGTTTGCTGAATATCAGTGGAAAATAGCAGCTCTGGGGGGAAAAAAACAGAGGAAGGCTTTCAAAGGTCTTAAGTGTCTCAAGGTTAATAGACATAATAATAATAATGTGCCATTATTGTGCTTCAAATTGCAGTCGGGGGACTTTTTTTGCATGTATCACCCCTCTCTCAATTTTTTCTGTATCTGTACTCGCTGTCAAAAGAAAAGGCAAAAAGAAAACTGCAGTTTAAAAGAAATACAATAGTTTGCCACATAATTTAAGTGGATCCAAGAATAGAGTCTACATTATCAGTAGCTGTGTGCTTTAGCATGGTGATGGATTTTGTTTTTCCACTTCCTCAACTGTTGCGTGGTTGTAGGAGAGAAGCTGTGGGAGGTACAGTGTGATTCTCCGACCTTCACCGTCGCCTGGCACCCCAAGAGGCCGCTGCTAGCCTACGCATGTGATGACAAGGAAGGCAAATATGACAACAACCGGGAAGCGGGCACTGTCAAACTGTTCGGTCTTCCCAACGACTCCTGAGACACGTCGGACGCTCTCCTAGTAAAACTAGTTTGCCTAAATTCTTGTAATCAGTTAGACCTCGAGAGGGAGTAAGCAAGGAAGCATCACAAGGAAATAAAAACTTCCTGTATGGCTCCAAGGATGCTGCTGCTTTGCATTTTGGTTGTAACTCATAGAGCAACAGTATCTTTTGCCACCAGCAGATGGTGCAGCTGTCCTAACTTTCCCTTAAAATAACTGGCTTCATTCCGTGTTTTTATACCCGGATAGAAACACAACTCCCAGTGCTGTAATATATTGTTTTTATGTAAAATATGCATTGTTTTTTGATATTAAAATTGGTCCCTTTTATATATCTTGATGTCTCGATCCCTGATTGCTGAAACACAATTTGTGATGTTTATTCAATGTCTTAAATAATCCAACATCAGTGAGATTTATAAAATATGTACATTTATTTTTTACAGTATCTTTGTAAGACTACGTTGCTTTTAATAAGCAGAGCTGTAGAAGAAAGCCTCCGCAGTTTTTATTTTAAAGGACCCAGCAGAGAGTCTGAGCTGGAAAACACTCACTTAATTACTCTGGACCTTGAACCATTCCTGCCTGCGTGCAGTGTGGGTGTGCGTATTGGATAAAGAAAGGATATGATGAGGGGAGATGAAATAAACACATACGCTAACCCGTACACACAACGCCACAGCCAATCATTCACACGTTTGCACCCATAAAACACTCCCACTTGTGCCTCTGGACACGAGCCAAACAGCCGATTGATGTCTTCGTTTAATATCATTAAATATTAAACGTTGTTCACTGTTATAATAAGTGGTTCCTCTCTTACTGCAGCAACAGAAAATCAGTTCAACCTGACAGGAATTTTGGCTTTTTATCATGTTTTGATTACATAATAACTCAGCAATAAACACAGCAATGAAGATGGGTTGCTGCCAGATTATGGGTTTACTCAGGTGTTTGTTTCGTGCTTGAGTATTTCCATTATCAGAGACTTTGTGGTCGTCTTTCACTACCTTTCAGACAGAAATATTGTTCCTTTATACTGCACTCTATTTCTTTCACAGCTGGTTGATGAAGTTACTTTTCAGATTTGTGAATTCAACATGCGATGATATCATAAAAATAAGGTAACTATATAATTTTTGTCTTCTTTAATTCTTTTCTTTCCTCATGCAATGCTCCCTTCTTTCCTTCCTTTCACCTATCACCTGAAAGTGGGCGTGTCAGTCTGTCTAAACCATTTTCTGTTGACCACTTCATCTTCATTTTTGTCAGGACAGACGTACGCTGTGTGAGGCCCTCGGCCTGGGCCGATGACAGGTGGTCACTCCCTTTCCCTGGAGCCTCAGACCAGCAGGCTGCAGGATGTTTTGTTTCACAGCTTATTGTCATCGTAGGAGGGATGTCACAAGGCGCTCCTCAGTCCCTACTTTATTTACTAATTAATTATAATTTGGTTCAACCCCACACGAGGGCCGTGCTGTTCAAGAAAAGAAATGCTCAAAACCTTCCTCTGCTGACTCACCTGTATTGGTCATTGCATAAAAGTACCCATTCTTCCAAATACTTGACAAAAAAATACACGTCTGCTTTGGGATCATTTCAGAGCTGACATGCAAATCTGTGGAGTCAAGCGTCTGTATTGAATTTAGCATTGTGGCGTGATGTAGCTGGATGGCCCTTGAGCGTGTCCTCCCATCAGTCTCCCTGCTGATCCCAGCTGTTATTTATTGTAGCCGAGACATTGTGAAGAGGTCGGTCAATATCCGTGGATGTGATTGCAAGAGAGCATCTTGGGAATATAAATCAAATATTGCTTCCTGCAGGGTCTCCTTCATCTGCCTGGCTCATTGTGTAAGCAGGACGGTTTATCTGATTTGACTTTTAATGGTCTGATCTACATGGAGCAACCTCACCGCTCCACTTACCGCTGGCCTATAAATCACGGCTGTTTTGGCATTTTGATGTGGCTCGAAAGCTCAGTGGATAGAGAGCAGCATTAAATACTGCAGCTGTGTGTATGCAAAGTCAAAATAAATGTAATCTTGTCAAGATTTTGATAGGTACACGGAAAAGAGCTTGGAGGACAAATCTGCAATAAGCTTATATTTCACTGTTGATAAATGTTCCTCTTCTCTCACCGTAACAACACAGCAGTGAGTCAGTCCACACTACGGGCTTTCAAAGTATGAGACCGTGGGCCTTCCCTTGGACGAAGCTTAGAAAAATGGGCCTGGCTTCAGTTTAAATTCCTGCTTGTCGATGGAATCATGCAGCAGCTACTTGATCTCATAGACAAGTTAAAATAGCCTAATATTGCTGTTTGACATGATTTAAACCGCATGTAAATACAAAACAGGGCTGACTCTAGGTAAGTAAGAAAAAACTATCGTCTTGACCGGTTCTCTTTTGAGATCTAATTATTTAAAAAAATCTGTTATTATATTACTTGCTAATTAGTATGAAACTGCCACACCCAGGTTAGGTAATGTTTTATGTCTGATGTCTTAAAAGTCTTAAAAATACAGAGGCACTACTGGGTGTATGGCAAAGCAGGTAGTACAGTTTTAAGTCATTTAGTCTCATTGCCTGATTGACTCAGCATGGACTCTTTTGTTGTCACATCAAGCATATTGAATATTTTGTTGGACAAGTAAGTATAAAATCTCTTGTGGGATCAGGCTGGCAAAAATACTTAGATTTGACATAAAACATCCCCCTTGGCATTATTGCTTTTTAAAATGTAAATATCCTACAAAGATGATGGACAGAAGCAGAATAGACCTGTGAAACTAGAAGGTTAGACGGAGCTTTTTATCTGAGCTCATGAAAAGTTGACGTTTTAGAGATATGTGGATATGTGTGATGATCTTTTAGAATATGATGCATTGCTGTAACAGCCAACGGGATATAAAGTATTTAAAATGAGCTGTATAATATTAACGTACACATTAATGCAGTAATATTATTCCAGTAAAGTAAAGGACCTATGATGTCTTTCACCACTACTGCAATCTAATAATAAAAAATCTAAACGTATGGAAATTGAAAGAGTGTCAGATATAAGCGTGCAGCCTTAATCAGGTTTCACGCTGATCAATATTCTCATTCATTGAACATCAGCTTTTCTCAAGGTGATTCTTTTCGGTTTCATCAGATGTGGTCAGGCATGCTGATGAATCTATTCAGACACTAATGCTATCAGACAAGGTGTGTGTGGATAAATATGTGTGTGTATCTGTTTTCACATTTGCATGAGTGTATCAGTGATGAGGTATTTGTGTATTTATTCCTCTGTGTGTGTGTGTGTGTGTGTATGTATTCAGATGTGTGTGTTAAGCAGTGCAGCTGCGTGCAGAGAGATAATCAGACCCACCCGTCCATTTGCTTCAGTCAAAACGAATTAGTCTCTGGATCTGTTAAAGGGCACTTCAGCCATTCTGGATAATTGCTGTGCTGCATTGACCGGAGGCTTCCTGATTGATTTTGTTTAGTTTTTTTTTTTAGATTAAAATCTTTGATGCTCAGTCACACTCTCACTCTCTGTTTTCCTGGTAGGTGACTAAATGTGCTTTATTTCAGCTTGAGGGGAGAATCCAACACAACCAAAATGCTATTTAAAACATTCATCTGCAAGGTGGGTTAAAAGGGGGTGGGGCAAGGGCAGCTGGACTTGGTTGAGGTTGATTGAAGACGTTTCGCCTCTCATCCGAGAGGCTTTTTCAGTTCTGAATAACTGCCAGGGAATCCCAGCTATTTAACCTCTGTGTGGTCATTATCAAGATGATGGATGCCACTCGGTGTGTTTGTGCTCCCGGCTGTTGTAACAACAGTCATTATGTTCACTCGAGTCACCTGAGACGAAGTTGGAACAACTGTCGTTTTCATTGTCACGTCATTCCACATGTGAGTGTTTGTTCAATCTCCTGGGAAGGGATGAAAGTACAGCATTGTGTAAGTGATGGATAAATGGTGTCGTAGACCTCATCCCCTGTCCAGAGATGGTTTCTGTATTCTGGTGTAAATGTCTCTTTCACTCGTCTTTCAAACCATCTGTCCTCCCTGTCTAGAATATGCACATTTTTGCCCTTGTCCTTCTAATCTAAGTAAACTGCTGAGTCTTGACCGTATGAGTTGGCTCTTCTGTGTTGACCCATGTGCTTGTGTAGTGGTTGTTTAGTTTCCTCAATATACAGGTTTGTGCATACCTCACTGCATTGGACAGCATACACTACACTGCTACTAGGGCTGCAGCTAACGATGATTATAGTATTTGAAGCTTCTACAGATTATTTCATTGACGCATCATTTAAGAACTACTTTTGCTTGGCGGCGGCAGTATTATATAGCTGCACTACCGGCAGCTGCAGATTCAGGACCCCCGCAATCCTGGGCCCGCAGTTCTAGGACCATAGACGGCGCCATCTTGTGGAGTGGTGGATGTAATGCACAGCAACACAAAGGAGGATAACCCTGTCTGCTAGCCCGGCCGATGTGCGCAGCTGTAGGGTTAACTGGTCAATATGCATATAATCAATAGCTTAGGTTTAGGCACACACACTGTGATGTTAGGGTAAGGGTAATTGGCTTCGGGGGGGCTGTCAAGAGTAACATAGCGAGCTAGCCAGCTGGCTGTATCAACGTAAACAAGGGGTCCTACAAATGCAGTTCCAGTCCTAGGATTGCGGTCCTGAAACTGCAGCTACATACCTTTTCCTGGATCTTGTGGCTGTTTTTCACAAATGTCCAGTTTGGATATCCACATGCTTTAAGGGCATCCTTCAGGTATTTATGCTTCTTCTTGGGCTTAGGAACTAGTTGAGATGCTCGGTGGTTCAGGGTTTATGCTCTAGTCTGGTCTGTGTGTGTAGGTTTCCTGTATACTCCAATGTGGAGGCATCTGTCCTCGTCACTGTGTACGACACAGTCCAAGAAGGCCGGACTGTTGTTGTTGACATCCTCTTGTGTTAAAATTGATGTCGCTTTCCACCGAGCTGATGTGTTCCGTGAAGTGTCGTGCACATATCTGTGCCAGGGGCTCGCCGATGTTCCTGTGAAAGAGTTCAGGGCTCTGCTTTCTACTTTTTCCATGTAGATGTTGGCCCGAATAGGAGATACTGGTGAGCCAATGGCACATCCATGCTTCTGTCTGTAGAATCCCCCAGGCATACTCAACAATGTGGAGATCATGGCTTTGTGGGTGCCATGCCATCACTCCAAAGACTCCTTGTTCTTCTTTTCTTCTTAGATAGTTGTTATTAATGATTTTTGCTGTATGTTTGGGGTCATGCTGCAGAGTAAATTTGTGCTCATCAAGTATCTGCAGCTTGAGGAGAC